TATCCTCGTTAAACACCATATTATTTTCTGTAGCCCATAGAAAGACCTGATCTACATCTGACTGGAGGTTCGCCGCGTCCTCTATGTTGCCTACTCTCATGAAGATCCTAGTGTCATCTGCAAAGGATGATACAGTGCTATAGGTTGTGTTCTTGTCTATGTCCGATATGAGGATGAGAAAAAGTACTGGAGCAAGCACAGTACCCTGGGGAACTGAGCTCTTCACGGTTGATGGGCTGGATTTTATTTTGTTGACTATTACACATTGGGTTCTGTTGGTCAGGAAATTGCAGATCTATCTGCCTATTTTTCCGGTAATTCCTTTTGAACGCATTTTATGTGCAATAACACCATGGTCACATTTATCAAAAGCTTTTGCGAAATCTGTGTAAATTACATCCGCGTTATGTTTGTCTTCCATAGCATCTAATGGCATATCATAGTGGTCCAGCAACTGCGACAGGCAAGAGCGCCCTGTTCTGAAACCATGTTGTCCGGGGTTATGGAGTTGCTGTGATTCCATGTATTTTGTGATATTACTTCTTAGCACTCTCTCAAAAATTTTTATGATGTGCGATGTTAGCGCTATCGGTCTGTAATTTTTTGCCTCTGCCTTATTTCCTCCTTTATGAAGTGGGGCTATCTCTGCTGTTTTTAGTATATCAGGAATAACGCCAGTATCTAGGCTTTGTCTCCACAGAATGTGGAAGGCCTGCGATAGTGGTTTTTTACAGTTCTTTATGAATATGGAGTTCCAAGAATCCGGGCCTGGTGCAGAGTGCATAGGCATACTGTTTATGGCTTCTTCAAAATCCAGTGGGGATAGGGTGACGTCTGATATATGATTTGATGTTGGTATCGTATCCATGAAAAATTCATTTGGGTTATCAATCTTTAGTGTGTTTAATGGCTCGCTGAAAACAGAGTCGTACAGCGTCCTCAGTAGCTCGCTCATTTCTTTGTTGTCATCGGTGAAAGTTCCATCTCCCTTTCGCAGGGGCCCGATACTAGATGTGGTTTTTGATCTTGATTTTGCATAGGAGAAAAAATATTTTGGATTTCTTTCTATTTCACTGATGGCCTTTAGCTCTCTTTGCCTCTCCTGGGTTACTTACTTTATAAATCTTTATAAGGAATGATTTAGAACCTTCTGTACTACATGTGTAAGACCAATCCTAAAGTACGTGGGTCCAACAAGGAGTCCATACCTTGTTAAACACAAGACGATGCTTGAGAAGGTTTAAAAGTATGCCACAAGACCAGTCTCAGAACTATGAGTTATGAATTATGAGGAAAGACTGCGTGAATTGTACCTCACGTTGATGGAAGGCACAGGAGATCGGGAAAACATGATCACCACATACAAATTTCTCATAGAATTGAGAGGGTAAATAAAGACAGACTATTTACCAGCCAGCTCCCACAGAGGGAGCTGGTCGGCCGAGCGGACAGCACACTGGACTTGTGATCCTGTGGTCCCGGGTTCGATCCCGGGCGCCAGCGAGAAACGATGGGCAGAGTTTCTTTCACCCTATGCCCCTATTACCTAGCAGTAAATAGGTACCTGGGAGTTAGTCAGCTGTCACGGGCTGCTTCCTGGGGGTTTAGGCCTGGTCACGGACCGGGCCGCGGGGACACTAAAAAAGCCCCGAAATCAACTCAAGATAACCTGAAGATAGATTTAACATGGGTGGTACTCGCACAAGAGACACGGTGTAAACTGAGTACCCAAATGAACCACATAAACATTAGAAATGTTTAATGTGGTTCAATGTCAGAATAGTTAATAAATGGAATGCACTAAGAAGTGAAATGGTGGAAGCTGACTCCATACACATTTCAAATATAAATATGATAACCTCCGGCACTTGTACACCAGTCGGTTGAGAGCCAAAGATCCATGTCCCCATGCAAGCACAACTAGGTGAGTGCTTGGGACACACATGGCAGGCTAACTCCACGTAAGGAGTTAAATATAAATACAACAAAAGTTAAGTGTTGGATAAGCAACCAAACAGTCGATTAATAGTTAATATGTGGAACCCAGAAACTGGAGCTGAAACTCACCTTGCCAGTGTTGTTAGGTGAGTACACTTTTTGGGTATCAAGTTTTTTTATTGATATAAAAATTACAAATCACAAAGCACATAACAAAGAGAACAGAAAAAATAGCATATAATCTGAACAAGACAAAACACATGGCACAGGAATTTGACAAATGACATCATATAAAAGGCAAAGGAACACTCACAAAACATGAACATAAATACAAACACCACTGTAAATGAAGGGGGTAGATAACAAATTACAAACCCGGGCACCCCAAAACAACACACAGAGGAGCACAAAAATACACAAAAGGCATGCTCCAGAGACATAGAAGCAACAAGTACAGACACCATAAGTAACATAAAAGGCATAAATAAGCAATCGCGCAAATTAAGAGGCTCACGCAGGAGCCAGGAAAGAAACACACCCACATACACAATCACACCAAACCACCCCGAAGGACAGGGGGAGAGCATACACACAAACACAGGAGCAGCTTCAACAGAAACAACACACACACGCACACACACCACGTCCATCCCCTGCCGAGGAGGACCTCAGGAGGGCCAGGGACCCAAGGCAAACCGGAACAGACCCACCCTACCAACCCACAGCCAAAATCCAAGAACCCAACCACAAAGGCAGCCCCATTAACATATGCATCAGTAAAACAGTCTCGCTCAATTGTTACACAATTAAAATCCTCGCGTATCATGACACAGAAAGGGGAGAAGCCTCACCCTAAAAACCTCCTCTCGATCCTGACGGAGTGCCGTCCCCGAGGGGGCGTACACCGTCAGGAACGGAACGACGACCCCCCAAAACTCCACCCGAACAAACAAAACCCGCCCATCCTCCTCCATCTCCGTGCTTCACACGGAGATGGAAGCCCTCTGAGAAAACAACATAAGCGTCCCCCCAATGGACGTCCTCGGCGGATTGAGCACAACATGATAATGGCACACAAACTCTGCAACACAGACATATCACGAACATTATGCTTCTGGATCAGAGTCACATCCACACGCTGTTCCTGCAGAACATCGAACAGGCCCAACTGGACCCCAAGATCGTTTAAACCGCGGACGTTCAACGACGCACACACAACAGAGGGCGCCATCGGAAGAACCTCATGACACCCCCCAACCCGATACTTCCCCCAGGGGGAAGTGTCCGCACCCCCAGTGGGAGCCGCACCCACACCACCAGGCTCAACCACCCACCGCACCCCGAAGATGGCTGTACAGGAACCCTAACAAGCTGCAAGGTGGAGACACCGCACGACGAGGCATCCCCAGGCACTGATAACACCATCCACGTCCTCGTCTCGTCCTCCGCCGCCTCGAGCCCCACGCCACACTCAATGCCCTGCACACCGCCAAACCCCGCGTCCGAAGGGGGGGGGGGAGGAACCGCGGGAGGAGCGGAGGGAGGAGTTTCTGCCAAAGCCACACCTCACGAAGGGGGGTGTGGCTTTGACAGGAGACCCTGACTGTGGAGACCTTTGGCAGGAGACCCCTGGGTGTGGCTTTGTCGCATAGCAATGGGGCCCCTACTATGCGACCGATCCCTCGGAGCACGCTTCCGGCGAGGGACAGAAGAACACAGCGCAACCACGGGAGGCACAGTACTATCAACAGCAGATGGCGGCGCCACTGCACCAGCAACACCGCTGGGCTTACCAACAGGAGACATGGGACCCACACCACCCCCAGCTTCTGGAAGCGCACCAGCTCCAGTACAAGGGCCGCCCCCCGGCCCCACACCAAACGTGGCTGACTCCATGGATACACACGGATCGCAATGCACCTCCGCCGCCACCAGCAACTGAGCACATGGAGCAGGAACCGCCAGACCAGCAGCGTCAACCGGCAAATCAGACAAAACAGCAGCAGACGAAGAGGCAGGTACACACCCACAGAGCCCGGACCTACCAAGGTAGGCCCTACCTCCGGCAAGTGCGGGAAATCATGCCTGTGGAACACCGACGGGTCGTCCGTGCGAGGAGCACGGCAACCAGCAGTGAAGTGACCCACCTCACCACACCGGAAGCAGGAGCGAGTCTGTCCTTGGTAAAAAATAAAACATATGTAGAACCCACACACAGTCACCCGGGAGGGAATAGTCCCAGAGAACCTCAGGCGCAAAGTACTTGCACCCATACGGAGCCCCTTCAGTCGTCGACTATGAAGACAAGTATGATGATGCCCCAACACCGCACCATATTTACGGAACGCAGCACATAGCTCATCCTCAGGAAAGTGCACCGGCACGCCATGGACGCTCACAAAGGTCAAGGGTCCCCACGGATCCGAGACCTCCACCATCACAGCAGAACCAGGAACCACTCGCGTCTGCGCATCGCAGCGGCGCACAAACAGCTGATAGGTACTGGACGAGGAGAACGTCACAGCCACTCGAGTAGATGAAAGTTTTTTCCAAACCGATCAGGGAACTTCACGCCCAGCACGTCCATGAGGGCAACTTCCACCAGGGGCCGAGAAATCTAGCGGCACGGTGTCGACGCGGCAAACATGGCCACCACAACACCTGCCGAGCCTCGGCCAATGGCCGCACTCCACCGTCAACAACGACCACCACGGAGCAGCTACAGGCTAACACTGGCAGCTCAGGCCGAACGTCAGCGCCCTCCGGTAGCAGAGCGGCGAATCAACAAAAGTTAAGTGTTGGGTAAGCAACCAAGCAGTCGATAAATAGTTAATATGTGGAACCCAGAAACTGGAGCTGAATCCTTGCCAGTGTTGTTAAGTGAGTACACTTTTTTGGGTATCAAGTGGAGTACGTCGACGGTCCTCGTGGCGCCGCCGCCTGCTGCTGGCACTACCACGCTCGTTATCACAACTCAGTCCCGGCAGAGATTAAACTAATTAAATAACAACGTACACCTTTTGTTGTTTGTTATATTCCCACACCTCCTGATAAGCTTGTACACCTCTCTTCAAGGTTCTAAAGATACTGTCACACAGTTTGCCACCATCATTGGATCTACTGAACAGCGTTGTTTCAGTTGTTGAACAATGTTAAGATTGGTTGTTGCGATTGTTCTCTTTGCCACCACTCACCAAGTAAGTTAGCCTCTCTGCTATACCAGAGGCGCAGAGGAACACGTCTCTCCACAGTAATATTATAGCATAAAACTGACCATTGCTTTAATTTGATATTTATAATTATACATACATATCACTTCACTAATAGTCATATAGGTTACAATGAGAATATTAGTCGTTGGTATAAATATATTCTTAACTATCTTAGTACACTGTTATAAATATTGTCCACACAAGCTTAGTACACAGATATAAATGTTATATCACTAGCTTAAAACACAATTTTGAACGTTTTCCTCACTAGCTTTAAACACAGATAAAAATGTTTTTCTCACCAGCTTAATAAACAGTTATAAATATTTTCCTCAATAGCTTAGTACATAGTTATAAATATTTTCCTGATTAGCTTAGTATTCAGTATTAATTTTATTCATCACTAGTTAAGTGCACATTTTTAAATGTTTTCATTTTTAGCTTAGAACAGTCATACAAGTTTTCCTAATTTGCTTAGTACACAGTAATAAATATTTTCCTCATTAGCTTAGTACACGGTTATAATTTTTTCCTCACTATCTTAGTATACAGTAATATACACTTTCCTCACTAGCTTAGTACAAGGTTATACATTTTTCCTCATTGGCTTAGTACAGTCATAATTTTTTCTCACTAGCTTAGTATTCAGTTATAAATGTTTTCCTCACTACCTTAGTACACATTTTCCTCACTAGCTGGAATACAGTTATAAATGTTTTCCTCAATATCTTATTTCAGTTATAAATATTTTCCTCACTAGCTTAATAAAGTTATTTATATTTTCTAAGTTTAGTACATATTTAAATATATCTTCTTAAGGTTATCTTGAGATGATTTCGGGGCTTTTTAGTGTCCCCGCGGCCCGGTCCTCGACCAGGCCTCCACCCCCAGGAAGCAGCCCGTGACAGCTGACTAACACCCAGGTACCTATTTTACTGCTAGGTAACAGGGACATAGGGTGAAAGAAACTCTACCCAATGTTTCTCGCCGGCGCCTGGGATCGAACCCAGGACCACAGGATCACAAACTCAGCGTGCTGTCCGCTCGGCCGACCGTCTCCCCTCACTAGCTTAGTACAGTGTTATGAGCCCAAGTAGCCTGATGAATGAGTCTACCCCAATGAGACCTATTCGGCGATTTGGACCTGATTGAGAGGTCAGAGGATGTGTAGATATATAAATATATATGGAAATAGCCTCTAGTACCATCCTCTTTTGTCCGGTCGTGTTGGTCGAGCGGTTAAGGGATCCTGTATGCCGGCAGAGTGCTCCTGGCAGTATGGGTTCGAGTCACTTCTGAGGTGTGAGTTTTCAGTTGCATATAGTTCTGGGGACCATTCAGGCTTGTTCGCATGTATGTGTATATATATATATATATATATATATATATATATATATATATATATATATATATATATATATATATATATATATATATACACATGTATATATACATATATATATATATATGTCGTACCTAGTAGCCAGAACGCACTTCTCAGCCTACTATGCAAGGCCCAATTTGCCTAATAAGCCAAGTTTTCCTGAATTAATATATTTTCTCTATTTTTTTTCTTATGAAATGATAAAGCTACCCATTTCATTATGTATGACGTCAATTTTTTTTATTGGAGTTAAAATTAACATAGATATATGACAGAACCTAACCAACCCTACCTAACCTAATGTAACCTATCTTTATAGGTTAGGTTAGGTTAGGTTAGGTAGGTTAGGTAGTCGAAAAACAATAAATTCATAAAAACTTGGCTTATTAGGCAAATGGGGCCATGCATAGTAGGCTGAGAAGTGCATTCTGGCTACTACTATGACCGAACCCTAACCAACCTAACCTAACCTATCTTTATAGGTTAGGTTAGGTTAGGTAGCCGAAAAAGTTAGGTTAGGTAGTCGAAAAACAATAAATTCATGAAAACATGGCTTATTAGGCAAATGGGGCCCTGCATAGTAGGCTGAGAAGTGCGTTCTGGCTACTAAGTACGACATATATATATATATATATATATATATATATATATATATATATATATATATATATATATATATATATATATATATATATATATATATATATATATATATATATATATATGTCGTACCTAGTAGCCAGAACGTCGTACTCGGCTTGCTATGCAAGGCCCGATTTGCCTAATAAGCCAAGTTTTCCTGAATTAATATATTTTCTCTAATTTTTTTCTTATGAAATGATAAAGCTATCCATTTCATTATATATGAGATCAATTTTTCTTATTGGAGTTAAAATTAACGTAGATATATGACCAAACCTAACCAACCCTCCCTAACCTAACCTAACCTATCTTTATAGGTTAGGTTAGGTTAGGTAGCAGAAAAAGTTAGGTTAGGTAGGTTAGGTAGTCGAAAAATAATTAATTCATGAAAACTTGGCTTATTAGGCAAATCGGGCCATGTATAGTAGGCTGAGAAGTACGTTCTGGCTACTAGGTACGACATATATATATATATATATATATATATATATATATATATATATATATATATATATATATATATATATATATATATATATATATATATATATATATATATATATATATATATATATATATATATATATATATATATATATTTATATGCGAACAAGCCTGAATGGTCCCCAGGACAATATGCAACTGAAAACTCACACCCCAGAAGTGACTCGAACCCATACTCCCAGAAGCAACACAACTGGTATGTACAAGACGCCTTAATCCACTTGACCATCACGACCGGACATAATGAGGTGATAGCCGAGGCTATTTGAACCACCCCACCGCCGGCACTCGGATAGTTATCTTGGGCATAGCATTTTACCAAATCACCTCATTCTTTGGGGCACACGTGAGGAACACAAATGCGAACAAGCCTGAATGGTCCCCAGGACAATATGCAACTGAAAACTCACACCCCAGAAGTGACTCGAACCCATACTCCCAGAAGCAACGCAACTGGTATGTACAAGACGCCTTAATCCACTTGACCATCACGACCGGACATAATGAGGTGATAGCCGAGGCTATTTGAACCACCCCACCGCCGGCACTCGGATAGTTATCTTGGGCATAGCATTTTACCAAATCACCTCATTCTTTGGGGCACACGTGAGGAACACAAATGCGAACAAGCCTGAATGGTCCCCAGGACAATATGCAACTGAAAACTCACACCCCAGAAGTGACTCGAACCCATACTCCCAGAAGCAACGCAACTGGTATGTACAAGACGCCTTAATCCACTTGACCATCACGACCGGACATAATGAGGTGATAGCCGAGGCTATTTGAACCACCCCACCGCCGGCACTCGGATAGTTATCTTGGGCATAGCATTTTACCAAATCACCTCATTCTTTGGGGCACACGTGAGGAACACAAATGCGAACAAGCCTGAATGGTCCCCAGGACAATATGCAACTGAAAACTCACACCCCAGAAGTGACTCGAACCCATACTCCCAGAAGCAACGCAACTGGTATGTACAAGACGCCTTAATCCACTTGACCATCATGACCGGACATAATGAGGTGATAGCCGAGGCTATTTGAACCACCCCACCGCCGGCACTCGGATAGTTATCTTGGGCATAGCATTTTACCAAATCACCTCATTCTTTGGGGCACACGTGAGGAACACAAATGCGAACAAGCCTGAATGGTCCCCAGGACAATATGCAACTGAAAACTCACACCCCAGAAGTGACTCGAACCCATACTCCCAGAAGCAACGCAACTGGTATGTACAAGACGCCTTAATCCACTTGACCATCACGACCGGACATAATGAGGTGATAGCCGAGGCTATTTGAACCACCCCACCGCCGGCACTCGGATAGTTATCTTGGGCATAGCATTTTACCAAATCACCTCATTCTTTGAATCACCTCCAAATCACCTCATTATGTCCGTTCGTGATGGTCAAGTGGATTAAGGCGTCTTGTACATACCAGTTGCGTTGCTTCTGGGAGTATGGGTTCGAGTCACTTCTGAGGTGTGAGTTTTCAGTTATATATATTATATATATATATATATATATATATATATATATATATATATATATATATATATATATATATATATATATATATATATATATATATATATATATATATATATATATGTTGTACCTAGTAGCCAGAACGCACTTCTCGGCCTACTATGCAAGGCCCGATTTGCCTAATAAGCCAAGTTTTCCTGAATTAACACTTTGGCGCATTCCAGCAGACCGTCGTTGTCACCAATATTATTAATCACACCGCACGCGTGCCCCTCTCGGGAGTCGCGAGAAAAAATATTTGTATAAAATCCATTTATTATCCGATCAACTTGGAAATAGTTTACAAATGTTTGCCATGAAATTTACGTTTTCTCTAATAGCCGAATAGCTTATTAAAGAGAACGGCGTGGCAGTGAATCATCGTGGTAAAACAATTGTATTATTGACACGACGCGTATAATCGACGTAGGTTTTATATATGTTGCCGGTCGAACGCATCCTTATGTGACCTTTAATACTTATGTTCTTATAGAACATTCTATTGCGAGCACATTGGTACAAAAATTAAATACATACAACGACAAATAATGTCAGGACAGTGAATTGAATATACACTTTTCAAAGCGAGTTTCGCCGATATGCCGCTGCGGGTAACACTTCAGCCACTTCCCACACTGTTTTGGGTGGGCTACGACATTGAATCTATATTTATATGCATATGTCCGTGTAGAAAATTTTATTGCGATTCCAATGATACCACAATTAGCGATGTAGGACAACTGTAGGCTTCGCAACCATTAAGAGAGTGGAAACATTTTGTTGCTGTTTGGCGCTCTCGGCGAGTGATCTGAATAGTTTTTTACTTTGTGTTAATAGTCCTAATGCTTTGGCGGCATTTTATAGGTAAGTTCTTATAGACAATTTTATTGCGAACACAGTGATACCAAATTTAAATACGTGCGCCTTCAATTATTGTCAGGACAGTCAAAAGAGTGTACACTTTTTCGGTCTTACCGTGTAGGCACGCGAACCGCTGTAAGTGCATAGGGTATGATTTTTTTTTTGAACGCCGTGAGCGCGAAAGTTAATAATATTTTTTCTAATTTTTTTCTTATGAAATGATAAAGCTACCCATTTCATTATGTATAAGGTCAATTTTTTTTATTGGAGTTAAAATTAACGTAGATATATGACCGAACCTAACCAACCCTACCTAACCTAACCTAACCTATCTTTATAGGTTAGGTTAGGTTCGATAGCCAAAAAAGTTAGGTTAAGTAGGTTAGGTAGTCGAAAAACAATTAATTCATGAAAACATGGCTTATTAGGCAAATCGGGCCTTGCATAGTAGGCCGAGAAGTGCGTTCTGGCTATTAGGTAGGACGTATATATATATATATATATATATATATATATATATATATATATATATATATATATATATATATATATATATATATATATATATATGTGAAGAACTCTGTAGGGTAAGGCAGGTCCTAGTCAATAACGGCTTCTCCAATGGTTTCGTCGAAGACATCATAAGAAGGAAAGTGAAAAGCCATGCAACCTCTGAAGAGACAACTAACACAACACCTATACCCCCTATTAGACTATTTTACAGGAACTTCTTTTCCACAGCTCATAAAACGGAAGAAAGGGTCCTGAAAGATATTGTTAATAGAAACGTTATCCCTACAGACAAAAATCAGAGGATACAACTGACGATTTACTATAAAACCAGAAAAACGGCCAGCCTACTCATGAGAAACTCTCCAGACACAAAACAGAACGCTTTAAAACAGACTAACGTCGTCTATGCCTTCAAATGCCCTCTTGGGGACTGTAAGCTCCAAAAAACCCAGTATATAGGCAAGACAACAACATCTCTTTCTAGGCATTTAACGATGCATAAGCAACAAGGCTCCATTAAGGAAAATATAATCTCTTCCCAAAACCAAACCATCGCCAGAGAAATCCTAGTAAACAACACAGAAATCATCGATAGATACAGCGATAGCAGGCGGCTTGACGTTTGCAATGTTCTGAAAGATTCCTTACACAAGTTTCTAAAGGCTGTTCTTATGTTAGCCAACCTGGCATATGCTGCTGATGTTATCCTCTTCATATGAGCTTCAGGGGACAGGTCTGGCGTGATATCAACCCCCAGGTCTTTCTCTCTCTCTGACTCTTGAAGTATCTCCTCTCCCAAATGATACCTTGTATCTGGTCTCCTGCTTCCTACCCCTATCTTCATTACATTACATTTGCTTGGGTTAAACTCTAACAGCCATATGTTCGACCATTCCTGCAGCTTGTCCAGGTCTTCTTGAAGCCTCAAGCTGTCCTCCTCTGTCTTAATCCTTTTCATAATTTTGGCGTCGTCAGCAAACATTGAGAGGAATGAGTCTGTACCCTTTGGGAGATCATTTACAGAAACAGGAGACCTATCAGAAACAGGATAGGTCCAAGCACATAGACCTGTGGAACTCCACTGGTGACTTCACGCCATTCTGAGGTCTCACCCCTCACTGTAACTCTCTGCTTCCTATTGCTTAGGTATTCCCTTATCCACTGGAGCGCCCTACCAGTTACTCCTGCCTGTTTCTCCAGCTTATGCATCAATCTTTTATGGGGTGCTGTACTCATCTAATTGGGCTTGCGGGGGTTGAGCTTTGGCTCTTTGGTCCTGACCCAACTTTACTGTGTCAAAGGCTTTCCGACAGTCCAAAAAAATGCAGTCCGCCCATCCATCTCTTTCTTGCTTAATCTTTGTCACCTGATCGTAGAATTCTATCAAGCCTGTAAGGCAAGATTTACCCTCCCTGAACCCATGTTGATGGGTTGTCACGAAGTCTCTTCTCTCCAGATGTGTTACTAGGTTTATTCTCACAATCTTCTCCATCACCTTGCATGTTATACATGTTAAGGACACTGGCCTGTAGTTCAGTGCCTCTTGTCTGTCACCCTTTTTGTGTATTGGTACTACATTAGCAGTCTTCCATATTTCTGGTATGTTTCCTGTTTCCAGTGACCTACTACACACTATGGAGAGTGGCAAGCAAAGTGCTCCTGCACACTCTTTCAATACCCATGGTGAGATTCTATCCGGCCCAACAGCTTTTCTCACATCCAGCTCCAATAGGTGCTTCTTGACCTCATCTCTTGTAATTTCGAACCTTTCCAAGGTCACCTGGTTTGCTGCCACCTCTCCTAGTGCCGCGACATCTCCCTGTTCTATTGTAAAGACCTCCTGGAACCCTTTGTTGAGTTCTTCACACACCTCTTTGTCATTCTCTGTGTACCTGTCCTCGCCCACCCTAAGTTTCATCACCTGTTCCTTCACTGTTGTCTTCCTCCTGATATGACTGTGTAGTAGCTTTGGTTCGGTCTTGGCTTTATTAGCTATATCATTTTCATACCTTTTCTCAGCTGCTCTTCTCACACTAACATACTCGTTCCTGGTTCTCTGGTATCTCTCTCTACTTTCTGGTGTTCTGTTATTACGGAAGTTCCTCCATACCCTTTTGTTCAGCTCCTTTGCTTTCATATATTCCATATTAAACCACGGATTCTTCCTTTGCTTCTCTGTTTTTTCCTGTCGGGCTGGGACAAACATGTTTACAGCTTCCTGACATTTTGTGTGTGTGTGTGTGTGTGTGTGTGTGTGTGTGTGTGTGTGTGTGTGTGTATACTCACCTAGTTGTGCTTGCGGGGGTTGAGCTCTGGATCTTTGGTCCCGCCTCTCAACCGTCAATCAACAGGTGTACAGATTCCTGAGCCTATTGGGCTCTATCATATCTACACTTGAAACTGTGTATGGAGTCAGCCTCCACCACATCACTTGACTGTGTGTGTGTGTGTGTGTGTGTCTATTCACCATGTTGTGTTCACCAAGTTGTGTTTGCGAGGGTTGAGCTTTGCTCTTTCGGCCAGCCTCTCAACTGTCAATCATCTTTTTACAAACTATTTTTTTTCTATACCACACACACACACACACACACACACACACACACACACACACACACACACACACACACACACACACAGGAAGCAGCCCGCGACAGCTGACTAACTCCCAGGTACCTATTTACAGCTAGGTAACAGGGGCATTCAAGGTGAAAGAAACTTTGCCCATTTGTTTCTGCCTCGTGCGGGAATCGAAGCGGCGCCACAGAATTACGAGTCCTGCGCGCTATCCACCAGGCTACGAGGCCCCTACTGTGTGTGTGTGTGTGTGTGTGTGTGTGTGTGTGTGTGTGTGTGTGTGTGTGTGTGTGTGTGTGTGTGTGTGTACAGACCTTCTTGTGGTGGTAAGTGACGGTGTGTGTGTGTGTGTGTACTGACCTTCTTGTGGTGGTAAGTGACGGTGTGTGTGTGTGTGTACTGACCTTCTTGTGGTGGTAAGTGACGGTGTGTGTGTGTGTACTGACCTTCTTGTGGTGGTAAGTGACGGTGTGTGTGTGTGTACTGACCTTCTTGTGGTGGTAAGTGACGGTGTGTGTGTGTGTACTGACCTTCTTGTGGTGGTAAGTGACGGTGTGTGTGTGTGTACTGACCTTCTTGTGGTGGTAAGTGACGGTGTGTGTGTGTGTGTGTACTGACCTTCTTGTGGTGGTAAGTGACGGTGTGTGTGTGTGTACTGACCTTCTTGTGGTGGTAAGTGACGGTGTGTGTGTGTGTGTACTGACCTTCTTGTGGTGGCAAGTCACTGTGTGTGTGTGTGTGTGTGTGTGTGTGTACTGACCTTCCTGTGGTGGTCTGGAAGGGATAGAACTAGAGTGGTGTGGAAGTAGAGGCGGAGATGTCGAGTAGTGTGGAAGTAGTAAGACAGATATCGAGTGGTGTGGAAGTAGTGAGGCAGATGTAGAGTGGTGTGGAAGTAGTGAGGCAGATGTAGAGTGGTGTGGAAGTAGTGAGGCAGATGTAGAGTGGTGTGGAAGTAGTGAGGCAGATGTAGAGTGGTGTGGAAGTAGTGAGGCAGATGTAGAGTGGTGTGGAAGTAGTGAGGCAGATGTAGAGTGGTGTGGAAGTAGTGAGGCAGATGTAGAGTGGTGTGGAAATAGTGAGGCAGATGTAGAGTGGTGTGGAAGTACAGAGGCAGATGTAGAGTGGTGTGGAAGTAGAAAATGTGCATATTTTCCTGTGCTAGCAATGAACCTGAGTAGTTAACTCACATATATGTGCCTGTATAATCGAGCACTTGGGTTTGGACCGTGCCCTAATCGAACACAATGCGACTGATCATGGTTACTTACGATTCCAAATTAATTACGAAAACTATAACTATAATTTTTCTATTTATATCTATTTTTGAATTTTTGAATGGTTTGGTCCGTCAACCTGCTCTTTTAGTTCACTCCAATTTCCCTTTTCTCCTTATGCAAATATATATATATATATATTGTTCATGTGTGTCTCTTTGTCCTCTTGTTTTGTCCTCTTGTTCTTCTGACATTTGCTTGTTTTAAAATGTCAGTATTAAATATTGTATATATTTCTAACATGTCTCTTCTCCCCTTTCTTGTTTAGCAACATTAGGTGCATATCTTTCAGTCTTTTATCATGCCCAATCATTCGCAATTCTTGGACGTAGCTATGTAAAAATATGTACACCATTTCCAGTTTTCTTACATGCTTTTTGGGGTGAGGTCTTCACGATGTGAATACACACTCTATAACTGGTTTTACATATGTGCCTTCCTATTTAGATTCCTACAGGAAGTTCTAACTTTTGCCAGTGAGTCAATAGAGGACTTCCAATGTGTGTACAGATCTTCCTGGACTACAACGACATATCAGAGGTGACGTCCGAGAGTCTGGTGGGCTTGACCAACCTGCGAACTCTCTCACTGAAGCACAACACCATAACTGCCATTGTTCCCGAGACGCTGACAAGTGAGTCACTCATGACATCTTGGGGGGGAGGGGGGGCCTTAATGCTGGGTGTGCCAGCCCACAGTCACTCTTGTCATCTTGGGGGAGGGGGTGTTAGTGCTGGGTGTGCTAGCCCACAGTCACTCATATCATCTTGGGGGGTTTAGTGCTGGGTGTGCCAGCCCACAGTCACTCATGTCATCTTGGGGGGTTTAGTGCTGGGTGTGCCAGCCCACAGTCACTCATGTCATCTTGGGGGGTTTAGTGCTGGGTGTGCCAGCCCACAGTCACTCATGTCATCTTGGGGGTTTAGTGCTGGGTGTGCCAGCCCACAGTCACTCTTGTCATCTTGGGGGAGGGGGTGTTAGTGCTGGGTGTGCTAGCCCACAGTCACTCATGTCATCTTGGGGGGTTTAGTGCTGGGTGTGCCAGCCCACAGTCACTCATGTCATCTTGGGGGTTTAGTGCTGGGTGTGCCAGCCCACAGTCACTCGTGTCATCTTGTGGGCGGAAGGAGGTCTTAGTGCTTCGAAAAAGGATCACAGGTCGCCTGTCAAACTCCTATGTCACTCATCTACTCATAAGGTTGCCAGCTGGGTTAGTAGCTCTGCATCCCAGCAATGCAGTTCAGTAGTTAAACTCTGTGTGGCCAGACAATGATATATTACCATGCTAACAGTGTTGATTCAGTATTACCAGCCTAGGGTACGTTTTCATAAATATCAGTGTACTCAAATATTCCCAGTCACAAAGATATTTTCCATAATATAAATAATAATGATCATAGTGTGGTGCATACAGTATCACTTATATAATGCTCAAAGAGAGAGAGAGATGGAGGGTGCACACAAACACATCAGTAAAATAATATGAGGTTTACTGACGAAAACGTGAGTAAGCATATATGGAAATAACACATGGGTGAATATATGAAATAGATGATCGATCTGGAGAACGTTGGCAGCTCCCCTCTCGCCACCTCTGGCAATTCGATCAGCTGGGCAAATTTAAATGAGGGACTCAGAACATCTCGAGGGGGGGGGGGGGGGGGGGGCGGCTTCGTTGGCGCCGTCCTCTCGGTCACCAACTGCCACACTCGATCCCACGCTGTCTTCTCCAGGAGTAGAAATGCTGGCTGGCCTACAGCCTACTGTAATACTAACATAATACAAAATATACTAATGATATATATATATATATATATATATATATATATATATATATATATATATATATATATATATATATATATATATATATATATATATATATATATATATGTTCTTGGCTTACGAAGCCTAGTCATCAAGGGGCAATGGAAGGGAAATAATGAGCTATCTTAATCACTTCTGTCTATCGACGTCTGTCCTCCGATGGTAGAAGGTATACGGTCCTCAGGTCGCTCCTCGGCGTTCCGGTTGCGTGTCACAGGTCCTCAGGCATCATGGAGAAATCACGTTTTTGCCGTACCTAATCCCTGGATTCAGGTTTTTCAAGCTAGTCCAACCAATGGTCACTGAGCATGCCACTGTCCACACTCGCTCCTTCAACGAGACATTTTCTCTTGTATCCGGATGCAGTGTCTTCCCTCCAGAACTTCAATAGATGTGACCCAATCACTACAGCACTGCACGTCATACCAGGGCGGGACTCGCAAGGCACCAGAACTTGCCCTCTCTGCATCGCCGCACGAGTACTTGGCACTTCTTTGCCCACTAAACTCGGCTACTTTGAACTTCCCAGGAGCACCTATTCCTCTGCGACAGTGGTAGAATACGATGGCTGCTCAAATCCACTGAGCGAGGTTTCCAGAACCTCAAATCTCAAGAGCTCATTTATGCACTTCCGCATAGATGCCTGTATAAGTATAAATGCAACACCTGTGACAGGTAAAACTGTGCTTTTCATGAAAAACAGCACCATCTGTTGCATGTAAGAGCAACACACATGCTATACTGAATATGTTACAATTCCACTTCAATGTTTCTGATTACATTGATAAATTGAATTTTCATAGATTTTGATTTATTTTCATTTTGATTTAATTATTTTGTGTGAGTTGCATTGGAATTGAGCTGTATTGTTTTCCATACCGTTCATTTCGTGTGTATAGTTTATTTTTTAATTTTTTCATATTTTCATTTCATTTTTAACTGTTTTTCTTATATTTCAGTGATTGGAACATCAGATCACTTGATGTTCCCAATTTTCTGATGGGAAAATCAGACCATTTGGGAAGGCATCGGACAAGGGAGTGGGAATGGTGGGGATGACGAGGGGACGGGGGAGTTTGGGATGGTGGGGGACGAGGGGATGGTGGTATGGAGAATGGTGGGGAGGACTGGGTGACAGGGGAAGGTTGCTGTGGCTCAGCAACGCACATGCATTGCTGAGCCACAGCAACCCGTAGCCGGGTACTGCTAGTTATTATTAAAACTAGAATCTTCCTCTCTAAGTCAATATAAACATAGAATTGGAACTAATCCTCGGGACGCTGTAAGGAAGGAGTTTAGCTCCACAGAGAGTGTAAACAAGGGCTTCCTGGAAGGTTTATCCAGCCCCAGCAACCTTAACATCACTACCAGGAAGTGTTGAGTATCCATCTATACTAAATATCTGTTATTAGTTTTGGGCAATAACTATTAATAATGAATAGGTGGTTAATGAAATAATAATATGAAACAGTGAGGAATCATCAAAGTAAGCCTAGTCTCATTATATTAGACAATCCAAATTTCATGTGTCACACCTGTACTTTATATGCTACTGTCAGTTTTTACTATAAAACTTATTGGCAAGAAGCTTGTGATTCATGAGACATCAGTTGAGCTGGCCAACTGAAAGAAACTGTACAGACGCCGTACAAGCTCTAGCTGCCCCAACAGCCGCTATTAACAGAGCCAGCCATTATTAACAGGACCAGATGGTCCACATGTGGCATACTAAAGTCTGATGTTTAAGGGGACATCAGTTCCAAATATGCCAAAAATATGCTATAAATGAAAATTAGTTCGATTTCAATCAAACTTTTTTGACTAGTTGTATACGAAAAGGGATTCATCTGGTCCGAGTCTCAGCATCGTAGCATAAATAGGAAGGGATAAAAAATACTGAATTATGTGCCATCAATTTTCAAAAATAGTAAAAAATTAACATCAAACACAAGTGTCAACTGAAATCATGTCTATGACTCTCAGCTATCGCAATAGCATATAATAAAAATATTTAATAATTAGTTTTATCCCCCCAAAATTTAATTGTAAACAAAATTTTCAACTAAAATTTTTAACTAAAATAAGGTTTTCATTGTTTTTTCTTATTTGTTTATCGGAAGATTTCCATGAAACTTATACACCTGACTGCACGCAAGCCTATCTGTAAGGGTGTCAATTTTGGTGGAAATTGGTTGATGTCAACCTCAACCACAGATGGCCGCACCTGAGACTTTATTTTTTACTTAAATATTTTCAAGTAACAAACGTTCCTATAACTCTTGCATTTTTTATTCAATTTACATGAAACTTACACCTTATATATAGAGTCTTATGTTTCTACAATCTGATTCGAGCTAAATTCGAGTTCGATATATTGATTTTATAATATTAATAAAACATGATATATTTCCATAATTTTTGGGGGAACTTTGACTATTTGTATTAGTAAAACTAAACATATTTTGGGAAATCCGCTGAATCACTACCTTTAGTATATGATATTGTGATAGAAGAGTGTCGTAGAAATGATTTCATTTAAAACTTGTGGTTGTTATTAGAGGTTGAAAATGTGTAAAAGTCGTTGAAAAGAAATCTCCCTTTCTATTTAGGCTGCAATACTGAAACTCGGAGCAATTGCAGCACTTTTCATATACAACTAACCAAAAAAGATTTGTTGACATTGAACAAAGTTTAAAAAACTAACTGATAGGCCCCCTTAAGGAGCAGCTCTCTCATTACCAATAACAGCTAGGCCATTCAGTTGACCCAAAACCCTGGGACAGGATGGTCGAGATGTGCCCTCGTCCTCGTGACATAGGCCTAGCTGTATGGCCCAGCCTTTAGAGTGTCTAATAGCAAAGCTGAGACAGTAGCAGGTATTCCAAAGTGTGGTTATCGACCATTGATAATAGTGAGTGGTGAATAGTGTGGTCTGGCCAGCAATTGAGACAAACATTGCAAGGTGTGTCAGTAACAGAGGTTCCACGAGGGGAGCAGTGTGGGTCCCCTCCCAGGTACCTGGGCCTTATAGCCCCTGTGCCTTCCCTCCCTAACGTCGCGGTCTCCCTGAGCGGTTGGTGTTGTTTACATGAGGAACCTGATAGCTCACCGCCTAGTTAATGTATACAGTTCTGTATGGTGCCTTTACTGATACACGTGACAACTACATAGTCATAGGCCAATAGAAGAGGGAAACCAGAAGTCATACAAGACGACTACAGCAGCAGCAGCAACAACAACACAGGCAGGCAATCGCACAAGTGAGTATGCCTAGCACATCTGGCCACAACAACAACTTCCACCCTGGCATGGGTGAGGCTCTACCCTCGAGGACTACCGACAGTGATGGCGGGAATGACAATTCATCAGAAGATGAAGGCGGCCACGAAACAGCCAGGAGCAGAGCATCTAAGAAACGGGACAGGAAACGATTGCAACAGCAACTACAACGACAGCATGGCCAAACACAACCACAACGAGAGCAGCAACATCATCATCACCGACCATAACAACAACCAGCTGAAGATGGTGAGTGGCACACCCTAATCTTCTCTCCTACAACGGATATGGGGTCAGCAGAGAAGTACAGATGGATCATTAACGCCGCCCGCACCCATAGAGACCAGCACCGCATTGAAAGCAGATTTGTTGGTAGCAATGTCGTCTTGCGGGTGTTTGGGGCCAGAGCCTTGCAGTTCTTCACAAACAATAACCATGACTATGAAGGTAAGAGATTTAAACTGTTAGAAGTAAACTCGCAGAATAAACGGACCAGAATTATAATTAAGAACTACAGTATCCATGCTCCTATTGAGTACATCAATGAACTTGCCCAGATCATCTGGGTCAAGCGCAACATGGCACCTGGGGAGTGCCAAAAAATCAAGCAATCGCTATGTGGAAGGGAGAACTGCCCCCTCTTATAGCATTACTAGGCATAAAGCCTTGTAGAGTGGAACGATATAATGACAGCCCATCCTTATGTGGCAACTGTCAACGGTGGGACCACAGAATCTGGCAATGTGATCAGAGAGACACCCACAACAATACTACAACACACCCGCTACAACACACCCGCTACACACACCCGCTACAACACCCACAGATGTGGGTGTTGTAGCGGCTTTCACGACACTAAACTGTGTCTGGATAAGCTTAGTGTTAATAACGCCGTAACACCCAAATGCGTTAATTGCCAGCAACCCCACCATGCATGGAACCGGCACTGCTGCAAGAAGCCTAATTGGCAGGGACCAACACGAATGTCAACTCAGGCTACAGGTGAACCAGTGACCAGGGGGGGGGATGTAGCCCAGGGAGCGGGTGGTCCAGTGACTGTAGCCTGGGGAGGAAATGGTGTAGCCTGGCACCGCTCCCCTGAGGCCTACCCACATCTTGCCCCTCCCACAAACTCACCCACCCATACTTCTCTTCCTGCTGACGGCGCCACACCACCACCGCCACAACCCCCACCCCCACCCCCACCTACCTCAGAACCAGACCCTTCCACTGCATCCCAACTACCCCACATCCCCCTCCTATCACACCAACCACCCACTCTACCTCACCAACCAGCCCCCTTCCTGACCCCCAAGAAGCCATCACCCTGACTCATATAAAAAAAATACTTGATAATATGATACGAAATCATCCAGTCGTCCAAGAAATAATGCAAAAGCAAACAGAACTTGGGAACGCCCTTGACCAAATCCAAAGGACACAGGACCAAATCGTCCAGCTCCTGCAACAACAGAGTCCATCATGTGAAGGGCCAACATGCCAGAGTCTGGTACAAGGTGATGCAGCACAAGCTGTCATGGTATATGACAGCAGATGCAACAATGATCCCATAACATCAGTTCACACAGTACAACCAGTAACACCAGTGCACACTGGAACACCAGAGCACACTACCACCGGTGCACACAGTAACACCAGTGCACACAGTAACAGCAGTGCACACTGGAACACCAGAGCACACTACCACCGATACACACAGTAACACCAGTGCATACAGTAACACCAGTGCACACTGGAACACCAGAGCACACTACCACCGGTGCACACAGTAACACCAGTGCACACACCAGTCACCACAGAATACATAATAACGAAAGGGAACATCATCATAATGCTCAAAGTGCATCTGTTAGCAAACAACTTCAAAATGGATACTAACGGGGAAGAACATCTTACTATACTACAATGGAATTGCAATGGAGTTCGCAATAGAATTAATGACATCATACAGTACGTCGGTGAACACCAAACTGACGTCATAGTGCTACAAGAAACACTGATGGGGTGATGACTTCAACCCAAGATTCAGCGGTTATCAGAAGTTTTCCCTTCAAGCTGGGGAAAGAAAACGGGGCCTCACTACCTTTGTAAGTAACAACATTCCTGCACAGATTATTGATGACCACATGGAGGATGAGTATGAGTCACTGGGAATAACCCTTTACTTAATAATATTACATTCAACAGGCAGATAATATTGCTGCGTTGTATACACAAGTTAACCCATAGAACCCATAGACAATCGACTTGAGAATGGTCCAGGACGGACCGAAACGTCGTCGTCCCTTCAATTTCTAGTGTGTGGTCTGGTCAAAAATAACCCATAGAAAATGTAGCTTGTAGTGAAATTTTCCGTCAATAGAAAACGGGATATCATTGCCACATACTATCATAAATTCAGCAGCTATTGTGTTGGGAATTATTCTTAAATACATTAGTCTTTGGATTTTTACCATCATAAAAACATCTTATTTGAATTAACCTAATTATCAGTACCAAAATAGAGTAAATGTGACCCTTCTATCAGTTACTGATATCTGGACAAAGTGCCAAGGCATCAGTGGTGAGGAGGAAGAGGTCAGCCAATGTTTGTTAAAACCAGAGGCGCAGTGGAGCAAATTTGTCTCCTATAATTTCTCTAGGACGAAGTGTGATGGAGATCAGAGTAGTGGTCTTCCATCATCAACACGTTGTCAACATAATCAAGGAAAGTGTCCTACCGAAACCCGTTTATCTAATAATTTCTGGCCAGTTAAATGTTAGGTAGATAAGGGCGAATCGGTTAGAATGCGACCCGCCTCATAATAAAAGGTAATTAAGCCTTGGTCCTTATTATTTAATATACAGTGTTTTCTCTGATATAGCTGTCATATATTAGGATTCTGGCTTTACAGCTAGCGCCCTTTGACAGGAACAAGAAGAGGAAGCAAGGCTTGATACATCAGTTACTGGGTGATGGAAGCTAGCCTCAAACGAGGATAATTTGGTGTCTACATCCTAGTTATACCTGGTGGACTAAGCCTGCTGTACAGTAAGATAAGGAACCTCCTCAATATATACTAATATATGTAGTTAATACTGTAGTTTGATCAACCCATTCTCGCACTTTCGTATAGTCGATATTGACTTATTAAATATGTGTGTATGTGACATACTAATTTATTGTGAATATTTTAGTTTACCTGGAAAAGCTTCATAGAAAACACCGACCTTACCTAACTTTCTTAGTATATTAAGATAAGCATCTTATTGCTTCGTAATTACAATTATTACTTAACCTATTATAGGCATAGGTTAAGTAATAATTGTAATTACGAAGCAATAAGATGCTTATCTTAACATGCTAAGAAGGTTAGGTAAGGTCGGTGTTTTCTATGAAGCTTTTCAAGGTAAACTAAAATATTCACAATAAATTAGTATGTCGCATATGCACTTATTTAATAAGTCAATATTGACTGTAAAAAAGTGCGAGAACGGGTTGGTTTGATTGGCTGCATATATATAAATTTAATATAAACCCCACCTAATGTGTAAGGATCGATTTGTGAGATTATTGCAGAAATACAGTCCACTTAACATCATACCAATTGCTATCGAAATATATAAATTAACGTATATATAAATTCTATATACATTCATATAAATTAAATATAAATCTCACAGGTCGGTTCCCACAGGAAACATCACATTCATTATGATTCCTGAGAGTTTGGTTTCTGTGAGTCCGATAATATATGGGCTCACTTCTTGTGCTCTTTCTCTTAGTTCGCTTGCCTTGCTTGTATCCCCATCTATGTTCGAGTATATTACTCTGAAACTGACTCTCTTCTGTCCTTCTTCAGTTTCTGTTAACTCCCCCTGAAGCAGGGGAAACAGGGAGGGTTTGGGATGGAAGGGCCTAAGGAGGGGGACAGCGGGATCTGGGAGGATCTTGTACGGGAAGGGTGGTGGAGGAGAGAGGGCTTGGGGAGGTGGGGGAGAAGAGAAGGCATGGTTTGGGGTTGGGGGGTTAGTTGGGGAAGCTTGGGGGGGGGTGAGACGAATAGGCTTGGGGAGGGGTATGGGGGGGGGGGCAGGCTTTGGGATGAGGGGGAAGGGGGGGCCCTTCGGGAGCAGAAGAGGAGGGAGGGCTTGCTTGAAGTGAGAGCTGAGGAGGGTGGGGAAGAAGGGAGGGCTTAGGGGAGTGGGGGAGAAGGGTGGGCTTAGAGGGGTGTGGGAGAATGGAGAGCTTATTGGGATGGGGGAGAACGGAGGGCTTAGGGGTGAAGGGGGAACAGAGGACTTGGGGTTGGGGAGACGGGAGGGCATTGGGAGACGGGAGGGCTTGGGAGTTGGGAGAGAAGAAAGGTCCTGGGGGAGGGGGGTTAGTGGGGGGAGGATGCTCTAGGTGGGCACGTAATGGGGGCTAACAGGGATTGGGCAGGTAGGACGTCTATTGGGAAGTAGGAGGGGGAGGTGCTTCTCTCCCTGTGGCTGTTGAACTTTTTGTCGAGGGTTCCCCACTCCCCTCTGGGATTGTTGGGTCTGGGGTTGTGGTTCCCTGACTCCTGAGCCTACTGGGCTCTATCATATCTATATTTGAAACTGTGTATGGAGTCAGCCTCCACCACATCACTGCCTAGTGCATTCCATTTATAATCTACTCTGACACTGAAAAAAATTCTTTCATTCATTCTAACGTCTCTGTGGCTCATCTGCGTCCTAAGTTTCCACCTGTGTTCCCTTGTTCGTATTCCACCCGTGCTGAAGAGTTTGTCTTTGTCCACCATGTCAATTCCCCCTGATGTATGTATGTATGTATGTATGTATGTATGTATGTATGTATGTATGTATGTATGTATGTATGTATGTATGTATGTATGTATGTATGTATGTATGTATGTTTGTATGTATGTATGTATGTATGTATGATGTATGTATGTATGTATGTATGCATGCATGTGTGTATATATGTATGTATATATGATGTATGTATGTATGTATGTATGTATGTATGTATGTATGTATGTATGTATGTATGTATCTATGTATGTATGTATGTATGTATGTATGTATGTATGTGTGTATATATGTATGTATGTATGTATGTATGTATGTATGCATGCATGTGTGTATGTATGTATGAATGAATGTATGTATGTATGTATGTATGTATGTATGTATGTATGTATGTATGTATGTATGTATGTATGTATGAATGTATGTATGATGTATGTATGTATGTATGTATGTATGTATGTATGTATGTATGTATGTATGTATGTATGTATGTATGTATATGTATGTATGTATATGTATGTATGTATGTATGCATGCATGTGTGTATATATGTATGTATGTATGATGTATGTATGTATGTATGTATGTATGTATGTATGTATGTATGTATGTATGTATGTATGTATGTATGTATGTATGTATGTATGTATGTATGTATGTATGTATGTATGTATGTATGTATGTATGTATGTATGTATGTATGTATGTATGTATGTATGTATGTATGTATGTATGTATGTATGTATGTATGTATGTATGTATGTATGTATGTATGTATGTATGTATGTATGTATGTATGTATGTATGCATACATGTGTGTATATATGTATGTATGTATGTATGTGTGTATATATGTATGAATGTATGTATGTATGTATGTATGTATGTATGTATGTATGTATGTATGTATGTATGTATGTATGTATGTATGTATGCATGTGTGTATATATGTATGTATGTATGATGTATGTATGTATGTATGTAGTATGTGTGCATGTATGTATGTATGTATGCATACATGTGTGTATATATGTATGTATGTATGTATGCATGCATGTGTGTATATATGTATGTATGTATGTATGATGTATGTATGTATGAATGTATGTATGTATGTATGTATGTATGTATGTATGTATGTATGCATACATGTGTGTATATATGTATGTATGTATGTATGCATACATGTGTGAATGTATGTATGTATGTATGATGTATGTATGTATGTATGTATGCATACATGTGTGTATATATGTATGTAGTATGTGTGTATATATGTATGTATGTATGTATGTATGTATGTATGTATGTATGTATGTATGTATGTATGTATGTACGTATGTATGTATGCATGCATGTGTGTATATATGTATGTATGTATGTATGATGCATGTATGTATGTATGTATGTATGTATGTATGTATGTATGTATGTATGTATGTATGTATGTATGTATGTATGTATGTATGCATACATGTGTGTATATATGTATGTATGTATGCATGCATGTGTGTATATATGTATGTATGTATGTATGATGTATGTATGTATGTATGTATGTATGTATGTATGTATGTATGTATGTATGTATGTATGTAGGTATGTATGTATGTATGTATACATGTGTGTATATATGTATGTATGTATGTATGTATGTATGTATGTATGTATGTATGTATGTATGTATGTATGTATGTATGTATGTATGTATGTATGTATGTATGTATGTATGTATGTATG